TATATATATATATATATATATAAAACACACATTTTCTTCTATATATGTACAATACTGTTTCTGGCACGAAAATTAATACAGCTCTAATTATAGTTGTAGATTTAACGTCTAGTAGTAAAATCTATAATACTAAATATTTTCAAAGAAACATTATCTTCTTGTTCTTACAATTAGAAAATGGAGATGTATATGCATAGTCGAGTCACACACGTTTAATTGTAAATTACCTTTATGAAGCTGTATATCATATATGTATATACCGTTGAAAATATTGTCAAATAAAGAACTTTACGTTCTTACGACAGATAGATAATTTATTTACTTACTAACAGCATGACATTTTGACAAAATGCGACAAAATTAAAAAATAATAGTCGAAATCTATTAATTATCTACCAATCGTATTTATCATCGATAAATTTGTATAAAATTTAAGATATATACATACGCCCTATAATGTAATTTCAAAGCTTTATAAACGCATAAGCACTTCTACTTTATACGTCTTATTACCCAAAATATTTTATATGAAGTTTAATAATCTGAAACTTGTCAATTACTAATTGTGGACAAATATGTCGGTGCCTGCATTACAATTTATCAAAAGCAACAAAATAGTATATATTGCAATTGTTATATATTTATAAATATGAAAGCTAAGAGGAATTTAGTCTTAACAGCTGAACAGTTGCTTTGAAACATTGTATCGTTATTATAAACTATTTTTATGACTACTATTATAAATAGAGCCTCTCGATTAAAGTTCTGAAATCGCGTCAACTGTAGTTAGCTCTCCTCATTGCACCTCATTCTCCATCGCTGTTGCGCCGACGCGTTGTTGCTTTCCACATCGCACACTACAGTTTCGGGCGAAAGACAATAGGGAAAATCATAAGAAACGCGTCGACTCGAATTGGTACGTCAATCGGTGGATAATCCGCGTGGGGCTCTAGTTATAAAGCTACATACCGTTAATATTACTTTATTTCGGCTACACATTTAAAAAGGCATTATGCACGCTTTCGTATACGAGACATGCATCATAAGTTAACATTTGACAATTCTAAACGTATGATGTGTATATCCCTGAAACAAATTGCAAGAGTGAGATCAGTAGTCAAAGTTGGGTATCCGTGATGTGTTTAGTCGAGGGGGTGGTCTACAGCAGAGGATAACGCAAGCTGCGACACAAGCTGCGACGCAGGCTGCTGTGAACGAGCTGATGGATGCGTTCAAGATCAAGTAAATAGATGTCCCCAGTTTTTCGGAGTTATACCCTTAATAACATAATGTATATGGGTATTTATTTAAGTTGCATAAAAAATTGATTGGTAGACTGTTCAGGGTTGAGAATGAACTAATATTTTTTTTGAATAGAGATCTTTATATAACAAAATTTCGCAACATAATTTATTCCTGTCTCATCTTCTTTGTATCTTTCTTCCTCTTTTGCATGGTGTTCATTGAATTTAATTAATGATTACGCTTTTGGAATCAAATCTGTACACATATATACATGTGTGTACGTAATATATTTGTATTGCCTATTTCTATGTTGAAAATAATCCTATAAAATATATCTGTATTATATGTGTATAAGTATAATGAATATAAGTATTAATATATGAATATATATATGTATACACACTTACATATATATAAACATAAGTTAATATACAAAGACTTCTTACTATTCAGAAGGAAATTGGATGAGAAGGGACAATAGAAGTCAGGCGCGATACTAAATTATTGCACAAAATAATATACGAATATAATCCAAAACTCTATTAAATAACATGCTTACATGTTTCGGCTCATTTTTGAGCTCTCTTCAGAGATAAATTTAATATTATAATTACAATATACATTAAGATTAATTTTTGTCTCAGTGAGCCACCTTCCCATAAATCAAAAGAATCTCAATATTGAAAAGTAACACTGATAACTATCAAAATATGATAAAAGTTAAAAGAAATAAATGATTGAAAAAACTGAAAAAATGTATATCAATAAAAAGAAAAAAGAGGCTCACTACAACAAGGATCCACTATATCGCAAACAATTAAGTTCTATTAATATTATCAAAAACTAGTTTTTTGACTTGTCAATAGTAAACAATTATCGAATATTTTTGTTTTTAAAACACTGAATTTTTGTTTTATATAAACAAAACTTTTTTGTTAATGGCTTTTGAACGAATAACGATTAAAACCTGTTGCAAGTTACTCAGGACATGACCTTGATAACATATGTCAAGATCATCGTACATGTCTGAGTCATCGCAGCTGTGTCTCCTATTCGGCATATTTACCTTATTTTTTCTTACTTTTTCTTAATTATAATTAATTTTAAGAAATATTTCACTGATTAAGACAATTTTGATACTGACTCGCTGACAAGTTCAAAAGTTTTTGTTAATCAAAGACTAGTTTTTGATTAGATTAATAGAATTTAATTGTTTGCGATATGGTGGATCCTTGTTGTAGTGAGCCTCTTTTTTCTTTTTATTGATATACATTTTTTCTGTTTTTTCAATCATTTATTTCTTTTAACTTTTATTTTGATAGTTATCAGTGTTACTTTTCAATATTGAGGTTCTTTTAATTTATAGGTGGCTCACTGAGATAAAACTTAGTCTTAATGTATATTGTGATTATAATATTAATAAATTTATCTCTGAAGACAGCTCAAAAATGAGCTGAAACATGTAAGCATATTTAATAGAATTTTGTGTTATATTCGTATATTATTTTGCGCAATAATTTAGTATTCAGTATTTCATATTACCTTCAATATCTCAGAAGATTTGATTATGGATAAAATCACTAGTTCAAAATCGAGCAATAAAATTTTAAATTTTAACATTTTAAACTTCAGAACTGGAATCAAAATATGAGTCAAGAAAAAGATCGTGAATTGATGAAGTGCGTGCGTGTGTGTAAAAAGAGAACAAAGTAAATTTTAACGTAGACACTAGCATAGTGTTAATCCGATTTTATTGTTATTTTCACACTGTGTAAAGTGTGAAAACTCATTCATAATCTTATTATTGAAATATTATGGATCTTCTTCTAAAATGATGTTTGCATCCAGTGAATCTATCCTGGAAAGTCTACCAGAATCTAATAATGTGATTGGCAGCTTAATTTTATATTAATCATATAAAACACATTCCATCGTTGAAAAGCGAGTTTAATATAAAATTGTGGCATTGTCATGTCAACTGCATCCGACATGTACTTAAATTATAGTATTGAAGAAAATATCGATCACGCCATTGGCAACGATAACGTAGATGAGAAAATGTCATGCTGTTGGAAAAGTATGTAACTAAAACTCACGAATGTATATCCAACTTGTTTTGAACAAAATTCTTTAATAACAAAAGGATTGTACCACACAAAATCATAAAATTTCTCTATTTCTCTCTACCTCCTATAACGTTTGTTACTTTTTTCTCTTGTAATTATTAAAAAATATATATGCTATATATGTATAGTATATAAGAAAATGAAAGATACTTCATAATATTTACGAGATATAAACAAGAAAAAATATGCTCACAGACATAGGATGTGATATAGCGTAGAATGCTTCAAGGATTTTGCATAAAAATCCGGAATCATGAAATCTCCTTTCTCTACCCCATTCCTTCTTTCCTATTCCTTTTCTTCCATCTATCCTTCTCTTCCCATTTCTCTCTTTTTCTCTCTGAATAGTTAAAACTAACAATATATAGGCACGATGTGCCTGCTGGTATAATGGTGATCAATACCACGTACAATGTATAATGAGTATACATCACATTCGGCAAGCGCATCCAGGAGCGACGTTGTATTTGTTTTGTATTATTTCTAGTTATTCTCTCAAAGAGAGCAGCTCCCTGATCATGCTTGCAATTAAATATATGTATATACGATGATTTATAATTAGGTACTCTTGCCTATTTTCAGAACAACGACGTGCTTCAAGATTATATAGTACATGTTCTTGCTCGAAATATTTATGACATTTGAGAAAACTATTGTATTAAATAGCATAGCACAAGCTTATTTTATTATATCTTTATATAAAATTCGTTATATTATTTGTAAAGCTTGTGTGCTAGATTATACTATACACTAGACAACTTATACTTTTATTTTGAAAAACGTTTACGCAGTGACCCGGGAAAAACTCAAAAGGCGGTAATCGAAGTGCAATTAAAAAAAAAGAATATTTTTTGTTACAGTAGAACGTGGAATGTCTTCTTGAATAAATAGTGAATTTAGAAAAATACCGACAACGGAAGACTTGTATTTTCTGTGTCATTGCGTATTTTCTATCATGATAACAGTTAGAGAACATCATGAATTCATTAACAAATAAGAAAAAATCTATTAACTTTGCGTACAGTTACAAGTGTTATATATGCACTAACGAGTTATTAATGTATAACATTCTCCATTGAAATTGCCAATATTAATAAGGCCTAATAATATTTCTTAGCACACAATCATTTACTTCTAATTTATTTTATTTGATGGTAACATAATTTCTTAACTATGCGCATTTTTTATTTCATGTTACTTAACTAAATGCTTTGTTAATTTGTTCTCGAATTTATTAAAATTTGTCGCTTTTTTTGAAGCACGTCGAACCAATTATACATAGTTTTGCGTATCATTATTAAGCAAAGATATTATAATCGTGATTTAAATATAATAATAAAGTTCCGGAATATTTTAATCGATATCTATGTTGCACTTAGCGTAGGGTATATATGAAATATCAACACGAAAGAGATTCTGTGTGCAGCCACAAAGTACATTATTGTAACGTTATTGTACAGTATAACTTGTATACAGATGTGCGTGTATGATATATGTTTACACACGCCCACGTCCTAGCTTCCTACACACACACACACACGCGCGCGCGCGCATTGATATCCTTTAAAGTAATCAGAATTAAATTATAAACGTCGATATGACAAGAGTAACGCGGTTAAGTTAAATTATTAAAATTGTAATGCTTTATTATATATATTATAAAAATATATCCGTAGATTTATTTAGCAACGTATTTCACACTCGATAGACTCGTGAGTTTTTTCCTTATGAAATGATTATTTTTGTACTAGCATATTAATAATGCATAGTAATTAGAGGTTATTAAAAGCCTTTTTATATAAGGTGTAGCTTTTTAATCGGGCATATTATGTGCTGTATGCACTTATCGCATCGAATATTAATTGAACATTTAAATGAAATATTTAAAGTTTTGTCGATTTAGTTGCGTATGAATATTCCACCTTTTCTGATAGTGCACTATTTATAATATATTTAAAAGAAGAAAAAAAAACTAAAAAATTAAATCAAATCATAAGAGTTATTGAAATATATGTGATGTATTAATATAGAATAAATATGTGTAAGTTTTTATGGAATAGGCGATCAGAGCAAAAATCTTTTGTTTCATGTTTCTGTGAAATTACATTATTGCATTTATAGTAATTTCTATCGTAATATTATGAAAGTTGAATTATTAAGTTTATGCATACTTAAGTGCATCTGGAGAGAATTTGGTGGAATATCAACCTCAAGTTTTATAACGAAAGATAATTTTGTTTATCAAACTACAAATACTTCAACATATGATTAATCAAGTAATATATTTTACCTTTAAAATTCGTGTTTTTTCTGGTTTATGTTATGATAATTTAATTGTAAAAGTATTAAGACCCAAACGTGTGTTATAAATGTAGATAAATTGCGCTGAACTAATGAATATAAATTTCTATATTATTCATAAAAATGAAAGAATGTTTCACAACAATATAATATATACATAGAGGTCACGATATGCACTTTACTCGACGCATTATACATATGCTTCCATCCAAAGCTTTATATGTCTAGTTATTACGCTTATCTCATGTAAAGCTAATATCGATTAAGTATGTGATTCTATTGTACATCGTGGACTCTGGAAATTTTTGGATTACCGCGCTTATATATAATATTTACTATAAAAAATGTTGAAAGAAAGCAGAGAGTAATATTTCAGTCGAAGAGCGAATCGTGGATTTGCTGTCGGCGTAGTTTTGATATCTTAAAGGGTTTGGCACTCCAGGGAAAGTGATGAAATTTATCGAGGAAGAGAGAGGGGCAATAGAGAGAGAATAAGGCAGATGATTTAACAAATCCACGTGCTACAAATACATATACTTTAAATGTTTTCACTGTTATATGAAGACATTA